ACATTTTTATGAGTACAAAGAAAATATCTTAAATACTTCTATGAGCTCTATGCCTGACATTTTAGGCATAATTCTCTCTATAGTGCTTTTTTATATATCATGCCTGGGATCTCCAAAGACCAGGCATGTTAGATTAGCTCCCTCTAGCAGCACTGGTTCCTAAAACTCACAGCACGTTCCCAGACTACTTGGTTAAAATCTCTCTCCACCACCCTCCAGCTTTCCCATGATCTACACCAGTGCTCAAAGGCAGGCAGGCAGGCAGCCCCTGCTCCCCTACCTTCCCAGAAAGCAATACCCAGCCTCTGCTCCCACTTCCCTTCACTAAAAAGTCATTTCTGAAGACTACTCTCTGTTCCTATGTGTTCAGTACAAAAGCCAGACACAAGAATATTTTATCTATATTTTATTAAAAAAAGCAAAAATACACCATGTTCTAATTTAAACGGACTTTTAAAGAATAAAGTTACTTAAAACTAAATGTGAAATTATAAAAATTATATAGCCTTCAAGTAACCCATTAAATTAATTTGAATCAAATATTTATGATACATGTTTGCTGCCCATGCTTTAAAGACGGATGCAGCCATTAACTGGTGAAATCACTAGTAAACAGAACTATACTGTCCTCAGGGAATGAACCACCTTCTGACAACTCTTAAGTTCCTCCTGCAGATTTTAGAACATCTCTTTATTTCAAATTAGTTGAGATGTTTAAATTCAGTAACTATTTCACCTGAAATTCTGAAAGTGCATTAAAAAAAAAATCTATATAAAAATCTTTGAATAAAAGTAAGTATGACAGTGAAATCAAATCTCAATAGGTTTTTTCGGTTCACTAGTGGACAATGCCAACTTTTTAAAGTATTTCCATTTTTAATGTTAACACAGATTATTTTAAAATTTTTTAACAAACTTTTCCTCATACATATTGAATGCTATTAATACATTTTTAGTCAACTAATTCACAAGGATTAAAATACCAGTTTTCTGTGGTGTCTTTGAAGAACACAGAAAGGGGTGATGAACCACATATCTAACATTACGTCATATAGTGAATTGACAGTAACAAAGAACAAAATTTATGAGAACACATTTAAGTATACATTATGTTCTCTAAATATTCTGTTAAATATAGTGATTAGTTATGCTGATCAATGCATTATAAAAACAACAATCTCTACTTGGAAGTAAAACATTTTCTGAACTAAAAACCCGCTCTAGTGGGAAGACAAAAGCATTTACCACAGACCTCAACTGTAACTGAAGGTGATAACCTCTTGCCCTAGATGAGCAAGCGTAGGTAGATGAAGATGCAGTGTAAGTCACAGGTCTGAAGATACTGCAAAGACCTTCCACAGCAAGAAAGGAAATAAAAAAACACTTTTCTTGAAAAAGTTGCTATTAAAACTGACCATCTTATTTTTGATCACTTCTCAACAGAAGTGAAAAAGTCCAATCAAATGAGTAATGATTATGTCCCCCTGCTCCATAGTACCGACCTGAGAAACAAAGGCTGTTCACTAACTTCATGGAATTGCCTGTTTCCTGCTGTTGGTGCAAGAGTATTTTCACATTAATCAATGCATGAAGCCACTTGGTTTTTTAAGTTACCTGTTAACGGATGGGGTGAGTATATATACATATACTTACACAGACACACTTGCTACTTCATTCTGTCAGGTCTTGATAAGCCCTGAAATTCCTGCCATTTGAAGAAGCCTCCAAAACAAGCGAGCAAACCATGAAGCTTCAGCACCAGTCACTGAAAGTAAACATGCTGGGAGTTTCTACTCTCTCTGCTTTTCCCTCCTTCTTCCGTAAACCACAAATTCTCTTCGATTTCTCATACCATGTTCTTCTCCACCTCTATTGGTTGCTTTATGATTCATTTTTTGCAGCATCCTGCAAATATTTTTCCTTGTTGAAACTACTTTTTCCACTTTCAATTACATTACTTAGAGTGTTCACCTTAGATTTCCTCTTTCCTACAGAAGTTCAAATATTTGACGATTATCAACTTCCTCCCCCCCCCCCCCCCCCCCCAGCACAACTCCTCCATGAATCTATGGACAAGAGAGGGGCTTGATTGTTTTTCTATTCATCACTGCTAGAAACCAAGCATATTTCATGTTTGAAGACAAGCCCTTAGGCAACTTGCATCAAAGAATCGACGTGGTTTCAGCAAGCTCAACTTTGCCATGGCTTTCAGAATTCACTCAGTATCGATTTGAAAGTCAGAAATATTCCTAAAACAAGGCAACTTCTTCTTTAGAACCAGGCAAAAAATATTTACACAGTCTTTAAACTTCATTTAGTTATATTATTTATTTGAAGTTACTTATTGAAGCATTTTTAATAAATGTGATCATAGAAGGAGTGAATGTAATTTAAGTCACTAATAAGACCTAAATAATTTTATTATTGTTTCTGTTTGTATCTAGAGAGAGAAAAAAAATTTTCCTTCAGTTGACACTGCCTTTGAGTAAAACTCTGAATATCGACTAATGCCAACAAGTAACCTTGACTTAAGTACAAAGAACAAAGCCTATCACTCCCAACTGCTTCAAGGGAAGAAGCTGGCATCTTCTGTAAGAAGCAGCAAAACTTCTGGAATACTAGCTGAACAAGCTCCACTGCAAAACACTATGTCTATGAGTATTTCAGAGTGCAAGAGACCGCTAGTAGCCACCTGGTACCAACACCTGGTCAAAACAGAACCAACTTCTAAGTTAGACCAGGTTGTTCACAGTAAATCTGGTAAAGTTTTTACTGTCTCTAAGGACGGATACTGCACAACCTCTCCAGGCAGCCGGTTCTAATGCTTAACCACATTCACAGTGAAAAGCTTTCCTAATTTCTCATCAAAATTTCCTTTAATGTGATTTTGCCCATTACCAATCTAATCACCTTACAGCTACTTGTAAATATTTGTAAACCTGTACTATAACCTCCGGCTACACCCAAACTAGTCCTATCTAAACAGACTGAGCTATTTCTTGACAATTAAGAATTTTATGTTCACAACAGGAAAAGAGACTGGCCTTGAGAATTTCCCTCTCCCAACTTAAATAATGTAATAAAGATGGAAGAATCCTGGATTTAAGTTTGTTTTGTTGCTTTCAACCTTGAAATCATTGCTACAATAGCAGAGCTTAAACTAAAACACAACCTTTTCCCCACTCCTGAAATACACGTGTGCATGCATACACACAAACACACAGAATGAAGCTTAATGTCAGCACTTAAAAGCAGGTAGGTATAAGTTAGCACAACACTATTCTGAGCCCCCACAGACTAAAAAGATGAAAATGGTCAAATAACTTGGCAATTATACAGAAATACTTGTCCAATTTTGGAGTAAAAGTGTTTACAATTCTGTAGCCTGTACTCAATGATACAGAAGTCTTCAGTGTGCTGGTGGTAGCCTCCTGGACTGAATCCCACAGGAAACACGAGGAAGAGTAACAGTTTTAAATATCTTTAACAAAGTGGAATTCTGCACAGATCTAGACAGAGGACTTCTGTTACCTAACAGCTTAGCTGTGAATGGGTTCGTGAGATGGTAACTGGAAGAGCTTAGAGATGATCTTCCTTGGGCTGAGGCACTATTCATTTAATTTGGGGCTTAGTGTAATTAACAGCTCATCCTTCCTTGGTCAATTCCAGGTAAGTATCTTCAGTGACATTTATATCTACTGCTTAATAAAGGTTTGGGTTATAGTTAAAGGTACAGTCTTGCTCTCTAAGTGCTACCCCACACCCAGGTTGGAAGCTGCAGCAGTTCCCAAATGCACCTTGACACACGGTTATAAGGGGATAAGTACCAGCACATGGAAAGAGGCAGGATCAAGTGGCTTGGAAAGGGCAGGTCCATTATATATATATGTGATGCAAGTCTGCTCTTAAAATCATTTGTCAAGGTATGTATCAGGCATAGTCCCAATAAAGACAGCTCCACCAAATCCTTTAATCCTTTTATTGCAGGTACACACCAGAAAAAGAACAGAGAGATTGTCATTTGGTACTTACCAGGCTTCTTCCTCTGCCAATTTAATGGGTATACCGAGTTGTTATTCTTGAAAGTAAAAAGCTCAAAGAAGAGCTCAAAATACAATCAAGCATTAAGCAAAAATTGATGTAAGTATGGAAAAAGAATACAAAACCTTTTATATTCAAGTATTAAAATGGCAGCACCAAATTAGTCTTGTTTGTTTCCCCTGAAACATGGAAAGTTCTGTGTACTCAAACATGTTCCAAGATGCACAGCTAGGAGAACAATAAGTCTTACACAGGGACCAACTACGGATGTACATGCTTGATGGACAGGCAGAGCACTACTGTTCACGTCCCAAACATGAGAATACAATGCCACTAACAGCTTAGATACCATTTTGCTGTAGTGACACTTCTCTGAACTGCATGCAATTACAGAATCTGCAGAATTCTTCAACGTACAGTTGCCAATAAGTAGTAAAGAAATACTAATAAAAATGTATTTTTCCCCCCACAAGTTATAATCTTTACATTTAAGCTTTAGTTCCTGGAATACCCCATGAGTCAGTCACACTGGTTGATTCCCAATATGTTTTAATTCAACGCAATTTGACAGAGGAGTTAAAAGTCCTAATGATAACTGGACTTCCAGAAGTTTTTGATAACTGGTGGCTGGAAAGACAACAGACATACAAACGAGTACGTCCTGTAACTGAAACCCAGGCAATTGTGAACATCCCATGCACTTGCCTTGGCCCATTGAGTAAGCATAACAAGTTTATTTAGGTTAGTTAGACCACACAATCTCTTGACTGCTGGGAACATCAGAAGTCATGGGGAACTGCACATTACAATTTAAAAAAAAACAACAGACAAAACAAAAAAAAACTTAAAACCAACAAAAAACCCCCAACCATCCACCCAACCCCCCCCCCCAAACACTATACACACAACTGCACTACAGAACAAAAAAAATAAACTTGTTTCAAATAGTACATATTTACCTTGAACACAGAGAATGATCAGCAGATAGGCTCCAAGCAATCGCTCATAAACTCTCAATTGAGTCATTGTTCACTTTTAATCCTTCCTGTGCAAGGCAACTGGTCCTTCTGCTTGACAAATGTTAAGCTTAGCCTGTTCGGTGAAGCCTAATACAAGATTTGGTGCTTGACTGGAAAGATGCTTTTGTAACTTTTCCAACTTCGTTTCCTGAAAGTTAAAACAAAATGTCAAGAAACTCCCTGCATTTCTAAAACGAACAAAACCAACCAACCTCAAGAGTTTCCATCACACTGATCATAACCATGTGGATGCAAAAAATAATTTTAAAAGCATATGTTAAGATTAGTAATTGAAAACATCAGGCGTATTTATCATCCAACTGAATTGCAGGTTTAGTCTGAAATACAGGTTTTTAGTAACAACCAACATGAACGTTTTTACATTCCTATCAAAAATATTAGGTATATTAACCGACTAGGCCAGCCATATATATTAGACTCACATACAGCTATGATAGGAAGTATTTGACAGATTAACATGTAAATCTGTTTGAAAACTCTTCTATTTACAGCAACTAAAATTTATATTTTTCTTAAAAATTAAACTCAGTGGTGACTTCCCATAATATTGCAGTGACAAAAACAACACCATCTTGAGCCACCAGTTGAAAAATGCTTGCAGAGAAGCTTTATTGCAATAAACTCCACCAGCCTGTCAAGCAAAAAAGATGCATTTGTATTGAAGTAGTTAGTTTAGTTGCCTAATGTACTCACAATGTTATTACTTTTGTTTTCTAGAATAGTACTACATCTTAAAAAGAAAACAACCCCCCAAAACACAATCTCATTTAACAGTTGAATGACAAAATTAATTTCTCACTTAGCATAAACTGTATTTCAGCCCATCTTCCTGTGTTCTACTATGTTATATTTATATATATAGTGTTTTCTAGAGAAAATACAGCAAGCTTAGTTCACAACAACAATGAACATTTATTATTTATCTCTGTTAATTCCAAATCAGAATCCCAATATCCTTCTAGATTCCCAAGTTTTGTACCAATTAATCCCTCCTGAAAAATTACGCTCCTATATGCACATGCCATTTCCTCCCAAAATCAAATGCAGTTCTACACATCCAGTGGATAACACAGAGCTAAGACAGCCACACTGAGTAGTAAAGTTACTTTTTCAGAGTTTTGTAGTTCTAGTCACATTCTGCTTAACGAACTTTCTACAGCGATTTGCAAGGGAAGCGTAATTGGGCCTCAGAGGACTAAAAAGGAGCTCGAACACCTAAATAGTTAATTGCAACAAAAGCGACGTTGCACAAAGACGAACAGAGGACTTATTTTGCCTTTCCTCGGCCTCTTGTTTCGGTGGGCTTGACCCCCCTGACCCCTGTCAGCCTGGCGCTGCTCATGAACGCCAAAACTGGCGTTCGCTCGGGGATGGGCTGCAATTACTGTTGGTGGCCGCTTCCAGCATCAATAACTCAATCTGTCTGTCGGTGAGACCCAAGGACTTTTCATTTTAATTAGTCTTCAGAGGCATTTAACATGGAGGCAAATTAGCGGCCGAACCGGGAGGTGTCCGTCACTTTCAATTTCAGCGGGGCCGGGGCAGGCCGCCCCGACCCCTGCCCTACTTTTCACACGTCCCTGACTTCTCCCTAATGAAGCGACAAAGCGCCTCCGCCCCAGAGGAAGCCGGGGAGAGCTGCGGGCTGGGCGCCTCATGGACGCGGGCGATGCTCCCTGAACGCCACAGCCGCCCTGGCTCTGCCATGATTACTGCTGGGATGGATTCGGCACGACCCGCTCTGCAGATGTGCTAACCACTACGAACTTCAAAATAAGCTTCCTGCAGAACCAAAATATTCACTCTTCTTAGTGCTTCCTAGTCACAAGTAGCAGGACCAATTCTGACAAATGACGGGGAGGGTCCTTCTAGATACAAAAACATCAGGCCATGAACACAAGTCTGTAAGTAGTATTGCTTTGTTCTGTGTTTCAACTGCAATGAACTTCAGTCTCAATAAAACACAAGACAGACAAAAACTGCCAACAGCTTGTATGTAGTAAACTGATAAAGACTTTATTTACAGTATTGTTTTTGCAGTCCATCCAGGGGAGGAAAAAAAACACAACACAAACCAACCAAAAAACAGTCTGTTCAAAGTATGTTTTAAAAATATTCTCTGTCCTCATGCGAGTTTCAGTATCTCAAATTTCCACTCTTCCACATTTCAAGAGTGTTTTACTTTCAGAAAATAGGCTATCTTGCTCCTCGATTTAGTAAGGTGGGAAGCACACTGGCACAGGAACTTAACGTGTGATGTTCATTTACCCCTGTACTGCATCATACGTTATTAAAAAAATATCAGTAAGAAATGGGAAAAAAAAAAACAAACCAAACATTTTCATACAACTCACTTCCAAATTCATGGTGATTTTTCTTTAGTATGACCATCTAAGTTATGAAAAATTCTGTCCAAGCCTATTCAAGATTATAACAATCTCCACTTCGCACCTAAATTTTCATTAGTATTTCACTTTTTGTATATCTATGTATTAAAATGTAAATATGCATAAGAATGTATATAAAACGTAATAAAATGACACCGAGAACACGTTCTGCTATAATCCTCATTTTAAAATAGTCATAATTTGAGAATGCTTATCAGCATTTAAAATACCTCAAAAATGAAAAGTGAAACCCAGTAGGGCTGCAATTACCTCCTATTTCCCTGAAATGCAGACATGAAGCCTTAATACTATTACTTGCGTTATCTTTCTGTTGCTGCTACTGCCAGTGTCAAGTTCACCCTTAGCTAGGTAAGTCTGCAAGGCTTGGGAAAGACAAGTACTCATCAGCCTTGCTGTACCCACAGCTCTAATGGTAACGTCTCACTACTGCGCAGGTGAGCTTATGCCACTGACTGAAAACTAGTCATTTGCAATAAAATGTCCCAATATGAACTATGTGAACTGTGGTGTGACACATGACCTAGTCTACACTACACAAGCAAGACAGCTGTGTCAAAAACATGATGTGGATAGGGTGAGGCATTTTTTTTCAGACACCACAGTAAAATTCATCACTTTTTCTGCCACAGCTATCAGAAGATATTTCAGGCTTTTTGGCACTTTTTTACCCATCCTTTGAACTGTGCTTCTTGTTCAGCTCAGAAACTTAAATGAGAAAAAAACCCTAAGACAATCAGTTCTCAAAAAGCCTGTCTTGCTCTTTCGCAGAAATGGGAACAGTCTGAAAACACTCTGTTCTTGAAATCACCTGACATTCCAATCTGGCTATGGAGTTTAACAGCTTTAAAAAAGAGTTTAAAAACCCCAGACTAGTTGTTCTAGTGCTTCTAACAAATGCCACACCCCAAATCAATGTAGTTACGACCTTCATATGAGAAGGTATTTCACTAAAAACAACAGTAAACCAACAAAAAACATTTGACAAAACCAAAGAGGCCACAGTGATAACTTTTCCAAGCCATTTCAGGATTCCCCTTGAAGAAGAAGAAGACTGGCAGCCCTGCTAAGGCACATAATCTGAAGTGAACAACAGCTGGAATTTCTCCAAAACCTGCCTGGTATTAACAGGTGGAATCATAGAATTGGAATCATAGGTTGGAAAGGACCTTAAGACCATCAAGTTCCAGCCCCCCTGCCATGGGCAGGGACACCTCCCACTAAACCATGCCACCCAAGGCTCTGTCCAACCTGGCCTTGAACACCGCCAGGGATGGAGCATTCACAACTTCCTTGGGCAACCCATTCCAGTGCCTCACCACCCTTACAGTAAAGAACTTTTTCCTGATAGCCAATCTAAACTTCCCCTGTTTAAGTTTTAACCTTACCCCTTGTCCTATCACTACAGTCCCTAATGTTAGCTGAGAAATCTGTATGAATTCCTTTTACAAACTACATTTGGCTTTTCTTTGCACATGCAGAAAGTTTCAAAATTTGTACAATAAAATTGTCTTACGCATCCTGTAGAGTTATACTACTATGAATGCCATTTGCAACTGAAGTGATTTTTACAAAGCAGCAAACAGAAATAGATTTTAATGTTCAGTAAGTTTCAACCCCTATGTTTGTTATCCTGTTTCAGGGTAGGAATTAAGTCTAGCTTATATTCTACAGTCCTTTTGCCCTACCTTCAAAGACTTTTTACTTCAGCTTTGCATACTTATATCAGATGAACAGACTAATGACACAACTAAATGACTACTTCAAATGTGTTCAAGAACCAATTAACACCTGAAACACTACTCTGCCAACAGAATGATGCTGAATTAATTCAAACCTGCAAGTCAATCGATTTCCAAGTCCTCACGCTTTTATTTACTGTAGCCACAAAGAAGCATTCAACTATAATCTGTTAAAAAGTATTTTATTCCTTAATCACAACACTCAATTTGTCTACACTGTGATTTATTATCCTTCCTAAAAATAGTTTATTGAAGAAAGCGCTTTTGTTATTAAAGCCGTGTGTAGTTTTTTCTAAACTTGAACTCAAGTTTTCTAAACTTGAAGTCAGACAGTGAATTCACAGCACTATCACAGCAGTTTAACAGTACGCTCCGTATGACTCCAAATATATGAAGCTAAAGAGTGCAAGATTTGCCATATGATCCAAAACAACTCTAAAATCAGGGAATTCAGTGGTAACTGTTCTTTAGATGTGGCTATGTAATACTTTTGACAGCATGATCCCTAAACCAAATGAGCTGCACTGTCCCAAATTTCAATAAAGAATGATGGTGCTGAACGTAACAAAGACAGTATTGTAAAAGAGGAACACACACACAAAAAAGAATATTCAATATCTGACTTCAAAAGAATTAGAACATTAAATCCATTTCAACAGAAAAGATGTTTTAAAACATTTGCACCAGTATATACAACACCAAGGAAATGTATTTGCCGAAGCAAAACTTAAGTATCTTAAAAGTTTCTGCTATGTGCAACAGGGGCAAGATGCAACAACGGTTATCTGCAAGCATACTACCTCAATCATGTGTAGTTTTGAAAATATCTCTGAGGTAGGAGAAAATACCAGAGATAAACTGGACTGTCTCTAAGGCAGTATGCAACAACAACTTTTCTATCAGAGCTTAAGAAAACCCTGGTATGTTACCACAAAGGAAATTATTAATTTGGATGAAGAAAAGAGGGATTGTAAGAACAC